GAAATAAATGAACTTTTTCACGACATTCTAATTTATTGAGATGCACCTGTATTAAGAAAAAAAAGTCTCAGTTTATCCAGAATCGTGCAGCTCTATTTTGCACACAAACAGCTCTTAAAGAAGTCCAGTTTTTATATAGCCTGCTGATTTTTGTTCATGGTATTCAGCAGCAACTAAATGTTTTGCAAGAAGAGACAGAATAAATATGTTTGATATCTAAATGTTTGACATGTTTTTTAACCACATTGGAATCGAAACTGGGAATCCATAAGAATCAGAATCGATAATCAGAATTGGAATTGATAAAATTCAAACGATACCCAACCCTAGCCACAGTCCTGCGGAGTTCAGCTTCAACCCTAGTTAAAAACACCTGATCCAGCGAATCATTTCCATCAGGATTGCTTGAAAACAGATAGATGTGTTGGTGCACAGTTGGAATTAAACTCTTGTAGGGATGTAGCCCTTCTGAAGCACCACCCCAACAGTCCTGCGGAGTTCAGCTTCAACCCTAGTTAAAAACACCTGATCCAGCGAATCATTTCCATCAGGATTGCTTGAAAACAGATAGATGTGTTGGTGCACAGTTGGAATTAAACTCTTGTAGGGATGTAGCCCTTCTGAAGCCCCACCCCAGTCTAGCGCATATATATATATATATATATATATATATATATATATATATAAAACAATTAGTGCTTTTGATGATAATTTATAATAATAATAATTCATGCATTTATCAGACGCTTTTATCCAAAGCGATTTACAGTGCATTCAGGCTATACATTTTTTTAACAGTATGTGAGTTTCCTAGGAATCAAACCCACGACCTTTTGCGCTGCTAACGCAATGCTCTACCACTGAGCCACAGGAACACTAATGATAGTCTATTATATATAATGTTTTCTTTTCATAATGTAAGCTGTCTAGAAATCTAATTAGTTCTAAGATAACAAGTGTTTTGTGTTTGGCATTTTGTGGAAGAGACAGTTATAAAGTATCAAGGTGATGTAGTCGGTATGTGTTGTACTTTATATGACATCCCAAGGCAGTCAGCAGATGGTTCGTTAAACCAGTTAGTCAAGTACTAACACTATGAAGACTATGAGCCAGAATTTAATATGTAAGCTAATATGTTTGTGGCATTAAAGACCTGCTTCCAGTCTGATGTGATGCAGGTTTTTAAAAGTAGTGATCTGACACTAGTATTTTAAAAGTATTTTCACGAGCTGAAGAAAAAGATATGAAAAAAAGTGGTTATCATGTGGGAATATTCATTTTCCACCGATGTAATAGTAAAATTGATTTATATCACTGGAGATACAGCTGAAATGCAGAGAGGTGATCAACAAGTCTTAAGTGCAAAACACCATATGGAAGATTTCCATGGATTTCTCCCACAGTTCTGTGTGATTCTGTATTCTTATATCACAATAATTCCTACATTTACCCTGAAATGTTATAAAATATGGAACATATTTTATGACCTCTCAGCTGTATGCACCTGAATGGCATCACTTCTTTCGTTTATATCTTCAGTAAAGATAACACTTTTAAAGATTGGGCAAGATTCACTACAACAAGTAAATACACATGAACAAAGTTGTCCTCTAGCTGGCAGCAAAGCTTACAGACTACATTAAATGAACATACAATAATATATACATTGTTAATCAATGTTTAAATATGAGATTAAATGTCTGTAGACTTGATCAGAATTCCTATTCATTGAATAATAAAACTATTTCACAGACACATCTCTGAAAACATGAGGTATACACTGACAATATGTTTTAAGAAAATATGTGATATATATATATAATAAATATAGGTAATACATTACAAATATTTTAAAAGAAATAAAAATTCAGCTGCATAGAATATATCTAAGAATTAGTCCAAACAAGCATTTGCTAAATGTGGCTGAATGGTGCCAGAGGCCTTTTGGAGTCCAAAGTACTTTAGTGACACACCTATACTGAAAAAACAGCAACCCTTGACCCTTCAGACGTCCTGAATTAAAGACTATTATCTTTATTACCCTTCCTAAGCGTAGTCCTAAAGCTTGCTGTATTCAGCCAGATCTCAGATGATGTAAACAAGAACAATCTCACTTAACGACACACTCCACAGAAACTGGTGTAATTACAGCAACATTATGTAAACATGCAAAATTGCATGTAACAGTTTGGTGGCATATTAAATGTAATAATGTCAATATGTATTGTAATATTTTTTATTTATAATTTTTTTTATATAATACAGCTGAGCTGCGTAATTATTATTATATTATAATAATTATTCAACCTCTATTTAACATTGCTGTTTTAAGTGATTTGTTTTAGGGTACAAAATTGTATTGAAACACAAGGGAATTATACAATTATACTTTTAACTTAACCTTCTAATAAGCTTGAGTTTGCTGTTTAGCCCAAACCTGTGCTAAAGTTGAGTAGCAAATTTAGGCAAGTCAAAAGAGCTCTCACAAAAACTCTAGAGAATAAATTCTTTCATGGACTAAAATGTAGGGGAAGATGTCTGAACAACAATGTGGATTTACTCCTAAACTTAGATATGGAGGTGAGGAATAATACAAAAATTGTCAAATTCACTTGGTATACTTGATCTAATCCATCACTATTTCAATTACAATTAAGTACAAAACTTTGGGAAACTGAATTCTGGATGATGCAGAGTTTTGACATTTGAAGGCTCTATAAGGCCGGTTATATAGATAATAGCATATACTGTATCTATAATGTACACTGCTCAAAAAAACAAGGGAACACTTACATTCGACATGTATCTATAATGTACACTGCTCAAAAAAATAAGGGAACACTTACATCACACATTGGATCTCAATGAACCATGGTTTGTAAAATGCAAATCAAGATTCTGTGATTTCTTTTCGACTTTTGTTTAATTGACTGAAGTACTGTACAAAGAAAAGATTTCAGATGTTTTCACTGACCAACTTAAATGTATTTTGTAAATATCTGTATAAACAAATTTTGATTTTGATGGCTGCAACACACTCCACAAAAAGTTGGGACAGAGGCAAAATAAAAGTGAAAAGGTTATAGAATGTCCAAATTAAACTGTTTTGAAGCAGTCCACAGGTAATAGGTGAGGGGATCATGTCTGGGTATAAAAGGAGCATCTCAGTCTGTGCCAAATTTCATGAAAGAAGTGTCAATCAAATCATAAATCGCATTTCTTAATGCAAAATCGCAAAGAATTGAGGTCTTTCACCAACTACCAAACATAATATTGTGAAAAGATTCAGGGAATCCAGAGAAATCTCAGTCTGATTGGGCAAGGCGGGAAAGCTCAGGTGAATGTGCATGACCTTTGAACCATCATGCTGCCTTGCCAATGTACCATTGACATGGAGGCATATATTGGGATTGTACAGAGATATACTGCCCTCAAAGGAATTTAATTGGAAGTCCATGTTTATTAGATCAAGACAATGGCAGGTCTCATTCTGCATGTGCTACAACAGTGTGGTTTTGCAGACACAGAGTAAATGTGTTCGAGTCCAGATCGGTCTCCTATTGAAAATGTAAGGCCCATCATGAAAAGGGGGCAAAAATTCTGCTTGGAAAAATTTAACAATTAATATCTTCAATTCTGATTTAAACATGAAAGGACAGGTGATGTGACAGTGTTAGACATGCCCCTGTCCCAGCTT